CCCCCCACGCGCCTGGGCTCGCGTACGGACCCCTCAAAAAAATATGCAAATTTCTTTAGCGGGAAACGATTTCGCGAACCTGGCGGGGTAGAAGGTTGAAGCTTTGCAGGATATTCTTTGTGTATGCGCAAACTAAATATTTCAAATTCAGCTGTTGGCACATTTGTGCAGCACGTACGGACACGTCAAAGTTTGTGATTTGTTACTGTGCTAACTCAGAAACTTGCCGGAAAACAGCGGCTAAAATTTTGTCAGCATGTTTGTCATCCATATGGGAAATTGTCTACCTAAAATGAGTACCGATTAACACTCGTGCCACGACTTAGGACACTTCAAACATATTTGTAGCGAAGTGGATATTTCGCTTACTGTATAAGCTGCGAGGCTGAAAATTTGCTAGGATATTCTACTTCCAAGTGCGACCTTAATTCCCCTTAGAGGTGGAATTCCCCGCAGGTGGGCATGAAAAATACTCGACTCTACCGAGAAATCAGAAACGAGTGCGTTTTGCAGCGAGCGGCCGCCCTTATCCAAATATGTACATGAACATTCAGATCACTTACGTACTTGGATTTTTTGACAAACGACGGCTCGAATAACACTTTCACTTCTTAATGAACTGGAAATTTGCATTTTTCATATTTCAAAAAGCCGAAGAAACAACCGGGCTTCATGCAAAAGACTGGTAGTCGTGTATCTCAAAGTCGCGCGGTTCTGTAATGCGCCACCTTCATCTTAACCCACGGCCTTCCTCCTGCATGCCGGAAGAAGGCCAAAAACCACCCCTTTGGGTCCAAGTGTTAGGTTACAGCGCAGGGGCCATTCCTGCTATTAGCGACCTGCGAACACATGATCACACCGGCAAGCTTGGTGCGTTCCAGCCTGGGTTGTCTTTTTTATGCATTTTGAATATTTCGTAGAGGTAGCTTTTTTCACTGAATTGAAAATAGCTTGAAGCCATGCCTCGCTTTGGGTTGTTTGCTTCTAAGTCCATGAGTACACAGCCCTATTCCCATCGAAATTTCCTTACGATTTTCCGTTCGCACTTCTCTATTTCTCTTTTTTTTTCAAAGTTGTGATTCATCCGCATTTACTTTGCTGTGACATTTTCAAAATTTCATGCAATTTGAATTGCAGAATTGATCCAAATTTCCGTGCCTCATTTTCACTGTTACTGTGCTTCTCCATCTCTCTTCTTCCCAACT